GAACAACAAAATGAAAAATCAGCCATTAATGTCTTGGATTCTATTTTGACCGACGAAGTGAACCAATACTTCACCATTGAAGCGGGAGCGCGAGGAGAAGTCTTCGAGTCTCAACCTATTGTGCCACCGGTCATGCAAGAGTATATGTACGAAGATCCAATGTGGCCGCCAACTCCTCCGCGAGCATTAACATCGTACCTTGGTGTCCATCATGCACATGCTCCGAAATCAAGCCAAGTTGAACTTACGTACCACATATTTCCCCATCTTGCCAAGCTTGAGGGCATCCACAACCAAGACTCATTTGTAGTGTTTTATGACACTTACTATGGGTGGAAGCCGTTCTTTGATGAGCTCTTCTCCAAACGTCCAGCTAAAAGACATTAAAGAAAGCGCTTGTTGGGAGGCAACCCAATTTCTCTATTCTTTTTCTTGTGGTTATTTGAGTCTTTTGTGTGTTAATTTTGAATTTTCTAGGAACTTTTTACTTTGCTTTGGTGTTTTTCTCTTGTAGGGTCAAGCCTTGGAGCAATGGAAGGGACTTGGAGGATTTACACTTCAAGGGAGCTAACGTGCCATCATGCCCAATCACCAATGAGGGGAGTTTCCTTGAAACAGTTTCTTTATGCTCTTGATTGCTTACATATTGAGGATTTTGTGCTTAATAAGTTTGGGGGAAACACTTGTTTGTCTTTGTTTCTTTTGAAGAAAAAAAAAGTGTCTTGTGTTTTCTTGATGTTTGGTGTCTTTTAGTGGTGAATTCTCTTGAACTTATGATGAATATTGATAAGGTTAGGTGCAGCCTTTAGAAAAACTTGATATCACCTTGTGTTGATTTTTGATTCTTTTGATTGCTTTTATCTTGGCTTGTGATTTTTTCTTCCCATTATGCACGCTACCTTGTGTTATTGATTCGGTACTTACTTAGGGTAAGATCTTGTGCATGTGCTTCATTTTCAAATAAACCATTTATAAGCTCTAGAACTTGCTTGATGAACTCTTGAGGCGAAATCTCAAATTAACACTTTACCAAGGGAATGATTTAGGCTATCTTTGGACAGTTTGAGCCTTGTAGCCGACCTTAACTGAACATATCCCTAGCATACCCCATTGAGCTTATACATTTTTTTTCCTTGTAACCCTTATCTTAGCTTTTATATCCCCATTGAGCATCCCTAGCCTAGCTGTTGCAGCAGCATACCCACCTTCTTCATGTGGGAGGTAAGGTGGTGGGTGATTGAAGTTTCGTTGCTCTTTCCTTGCTCCTCTTGCATCATTGAGGACAATGCTCATTTTGAGTTTGGGGGCAGAGGGGGCTTAAGCTCTTAATGTCTAGTATGTACTCCTAACCAAAAAAAAAAAAAAAAAAAAAAACCTTTGCTCCGCTACTTTGGAATGCTTAGTAACCAGGAGTGAGCATGAGCCCCATGTTCACTTTTGCGTCAAACGGTAGACCAAGGCAAGAGCAAGCAAAAAAATAAAAATAAATAAATAAATAAATAAATGAAAAAAAGAGAAAAGCGCATTGACTTGTAACTTATTGAGTAACCGGATGACTTCATCACCAATGTTGGCATTCGCGTAAAAAGGCAAGTTGGCAATTCTTGGTAGATAAAAAAAAAAAGAAAGCAAGGGGTATAATAAAAGGACATTTAGAAATAAAAGCAAATCTAGTGGACAAGGGAAAGCAAGACTTGAGTTTGGGGGAGTTTATTGGGAATGTTATTTGTGTCTGCAAAGTTCTAGAGTGCGAGGTGCTTCAGGGAGAGTTGAGCCAAAATATTACCTTCCATCCTACCTTCACCCTAGCCTAGCTTTACAAACCTAATGAAGTCCTATTGATCCTTGGTGGTGTGTTGATTTAAATTAGTGGAGAGAGTTGAGAAAAGCAAGCTTATGAGGTTTGAACTTATAATTAGAAGAAATTGATGTAGAACACCTTCGCATGGTCCCAACTAGTTTGACATTGATGATTTGGCACTTGGTTGTTCACACACACACTAGAAAGGTCTAAGCAGAGAAGGAGCAATCTTGTGAATTTGAGATCAACACTTGGCTGGAAATCATGTTTTTCTTTAGGCTGTACTTCTAACCAGTGCTGTAAGGACATAAAAATCTCTTGAGAAATTATCCACAAAGTATGCATTAGCTTTTTCTGTTTAGCTCATTCGTCTTATCTTGTTGTCACTTTTGTTTTGCTCGAGGACAAGCAGCATTCTGAGTTTGGAGGTGTGATAACTCTAAGAAATTAGAGTTATCCACTGGTTTTATAGCTTAAAATTGCGTGTCCTTGAGTGATGGTTCTTGTTTATTGTATGTTTTAATTTAGATTTGTAAAGTTTGCACTTACTTTGGTTTAATTCCATATTGCTGCACCTCTTGAAGTGAAAGTTGGTAATTTGGAAGGAAAATGAGGTGAAAAAACTGACTAATGCTGTGAGAGCACCTTGCAGGAAATTGTTGGGCTAAAATGCTGCAGCATTCTAGGCAGCATTCTGGGAATAGCTGGCAGCTGATTGACATCAGCGCACTAGCTGGATAAAGCAGGCAGAAAGGAATCCGTGTGAGCTGGCTGAGGAGGTGTCAAATGGGTCCACTGTGCACATCATCAGTGACACTTCAGCCCTTGTGTTGCCCTAGAAAAAAATGCTTTCTAAAAAACAAAAGGCAGCCGCCAGGGGAAAGAGAAAAAAGAGGAGAGAGAAGAAATAGAAAAGGAGGTATTATGGGGCTGGACACACAGAGAAAATACAGAGAGCACCCCTCTCCAGAAAACATAGAGTACCTATCTCCAGAAAACTGAATACAAGGACGTGAATGAAAGAAAGCAGGAGGTTGAAGGAAGCAAGGCCGGACAAAGAGGAATCCTAAATCCAGCTGAAACTCTTTCTTCTTTCTGTTAGCTTAATTATCTTTTGGTATTTAGTTACTAATTTAGCCATGACTTATTCTGGAGCTTTGAATTCTGTAAATCTCATGATGAACTAATTTGTTTTAGCTAGGTTTGCTAATGGAACAAAGATTGCAAGGTTGACAATGTGTTTCTGAGGTGTTATTAATTTACTATTCCGGTTCATTCATGTGTATTAATGCCTATTTCTATTCTTGACTGGCCATCAATTTTAGGATACAAGATTAAGATTAATACTGGAAGGGTTAGCTTTAATCGAATCTAACATGAGTGATGCTTGTTCAATAACCTTGCTTAGTTGTTGATTAGTGGATGGTATAGGAATATATTATTCACCTTGCATAACTTAAAGAAACCTGAGTTTAAATCTGCATTCTGGAAGCTAGATTCACATAGGAATATGCTGAAAATAGTTTAAGGAACCTTAGTCATAATTAATTCAGAAGAATTTTATGCAATAACAGAGTTTCTGTTAACAAGGGTAGTGAATGCTGCAGTATTCTAGGTAATATTTTAGTCAGACTTGCAATTAAGGGGAAGTTAGCAGACGTAGCTCATTTTCACCATTGAATTACATTCTTGTTATTGTTATAAAAATATAAAAAAAAAAAACAATCCTAGAAGCTAATCAATATTGGTATTTAACGAAAGCTAAACACAATCCTTGTGGGATCGATATCCGTACTCTTGTACACTTTATTACTTGTGTGATTCGTATACTTGCGAGTTTTCACGCAACAAAATCGATCAAATGAACGGGGTCTAAGATCAAATCTGGAAGTAATGAGGAAGGATGTTATAGAAGCATTGAGGTGAATCCTTGCACAAAAGAGTTTCATACAGACGAAGAAGATGAACAAAATGCTCTGTTACTTTATCCCCAAATAACAAACTAATCAGATTTATCCCCAAAAGACCCCCCCCCCCCCCCCAAAAAAAAAAAAAACCTAGATACCACAATTCCAAAAAAGAAAAAAAATGTCTAAACGATTGCTCTATTACTTTTTTCTTAAAAAAAAAAATTGATTTTTAATAAATTAATAGGTTTTTTTTATTAATAATTAAGTTCAACATTTTAAAATGATTTCCTACACTTTTAATGACGTCACGTTATCTTTCTATTAAAATTATAGAAAATGCCTCCTGTCCGGTAGGCATTATTTGCTCGAGTGATATGACGGAAGACATTATATAAGATTTATGATGAATTGTACAACTACCGTATGTAAATATATAAGACATATGTTGAATTGTACAACTTGTCATACAACTTATACATCTTTACAATTGTACAACTTTCATATGCTAAATTGTACAACGTGTAAATATACAAGACTTATACTTAATTATACATCTTTACATGTAAATATACACGGTTTATACTGAATTATACATCTGCCGTTTTAATCTGACAAATAATAGATGCCGGTTTAAAGACTTTGCCTAAAATTATAAACATAGTTATACGAAGAGGTAATTTAGTGGACGTTTGGTTTATAAATTCAGAACCATTCTCGATTTACGTATGTTTTTTGTTGGAGAAAATACTGTAACGAATCACGAACTATGATTCAAATCATGACACGAATACACCAACCAAACGTACTTTTAATTTATTTTCTATATATCAAAAATGTTTTGAATCATTTTAAAAAATTAAAAGTGGTTTAAAATAGAGTACATAATTCAAAAGTATTTATAAGATAATCCTAATTAAAAAGAACAAAACAAGTTTCACTGGAGATTTTTTTTTCTTTTTTTAACACTTAATAATATTTTATATTATTTTTTTCCTGAAGAGAAAAAACTCTCTAATTTCTCTCTAATTAGAAGTGAATGTAGATCTTAATTATTTTATTAATTTATATTTTATTATAATAAAAAATTATCAAAAATAATTATATTTAATTTTTTATTATAATAAAAAATTATCACATAAAATTATATCTTAATTTAAATTAAAAATTTTAATCGTCAACTAAACATGCGTGTAATATTTATTATTGTTTATTGAATACTTCCCTCTCCATGTCGTCGTTTGACAAATCTCAGCTCCGCGGAGGCTAACTGGCCTTTGTCCAACTCCAATGTCCGAACCTCCGATCTCTGAGAGTTAAGAGAGAAGTCTAAAACTTACTTCACAAAACACTCCCACATCCACCAGATCTATTCTCCAATCTCCATTTCCTCTTCAGATCTCCGATCCTCTTCTCCCAATTCTCCCTTTCATCCTCAATCCAGGTATTCATTCACTTCTGCATATTTCAATCTCTCGAATCTCGGCTTTCGATCCGATATTTCTTTGGCTTTGTTTCGATTGATTATGGTTTACGTAACTTGTTTGAAGATTTTTGTTTTGGTGATCTGAATTTGGAATGATCTGAATTTGGGAAGAGTTGCAGAAGGAGGAGAGAGTTTTAGGTGAAGGAATCGGAAATGGCGGGTGGAGCCGCCGGGGGTTTCGTTTCGCGAGCGTTCGAGTCGATGCTCAAAGAGTGCTTGGGCAAAAAGTACCCCGACCTTCAGAAAGCGATTCAGAATTATATAGGTCATTATACAATTCTTATTCATCCACATTTTCTCTCAATTTCATTTTTTTTTTTCGTTTCTTGCATATCATTCTCGTTCTATTTGCAATTGTACAATTTTATTTGACTTAACCATTTTTCTAATTATTTTTAAATTGAATTCAGATGGTACGAAAGAGGTCAAACAGGTTCAGAATCCAGTTCCCAGTGAGACAAACCAAGCTGCATCTGTGGCTGGTGAAGACAGGTTTACATTTTCATCTTTAGCTTATTATTCTTTCCTCATTATTCACCACACAGACCACAGTCTTTTTTTTAGGATGGAATTATGGTAATGTGTAGTGTTAAAAAATGTACTACTCTCTCTCTCTCTCTCTCTCTGGAGCTGTCGAATTTAAGTTCTAATAGAAATGTACTACTTTTAAGGGGATTTTTTTTTCTTTTCTTTTCGGGGAAAGCTTTATAAGTAATTAAGAGAAAGATTTAATTTGATCATGTAATTGGCGTTGAGTTTTTTGTGAAAGTTAGTGTCAAGTGATAGAGCTCTAAAATTGAAGTTTTATTCATCAGATTAAATAGGCTTAAATTTTCCTTTGTGTCTGAGGAAACGATATGCCCTTAGGCGGGATATGATTATGATTATGATTAGGCTTATGGGCTGATTAGTAAAAAGACCTAGGTGCTCGCTAATTTTGTTTTTGGTATCAATTTCCTTTGCAGTTCGGTTGAAACAGGAGCTGGAGCTGCACAAACTGACACAGAGCCGACCACATCACAGACAGTTTCTCTGAGTGTGCCGGGAGCTGATTCTGTGGGTAAGCCAGTGAGCATCAGCGAAACTATTTCAACTGTTTTGGCAAATGCTGGGCATACCTTGGAGGGGTCTGTGGCAGAACTTGTTTTGAGTCCTCTTCGACTTGCGTTTGCGACAAAGAACTTGAAAATCCTAGAATCTGCTTTGGATTGTCTTCATGTAAGTATTTGTCTTGATGGTTTTGTTTTGTACTTTTACGTAGATGAGGGCTGTTTTTCACATTGCCTTTTGGTTCCTAATATGTGTTAAGTGGGGGAAACTCTCTTCGATGTGACTAACTTATTTTTAGGCCATTAATTGGGGGTTCAAGTTTATGAAAAGTAGAGTGAAAGATTGGAACAAAAATATTTTGGGGCGATTTTAGAGTGGAGAAAAAACTTTTTACTTTCGATTAAGGAAACCGGTGGACCAGAGTTGAATTGTGAGAATACTGAGACTCTGAATGTGGAAATGGTAAATTTGAAAAACAAGTTTTGAGTTCTTGCTTGTTGGCTTTCAAGGAGCATGTTCCATTGAAACAAAAGATGAAGTTTTCTTGTATTAGAGAAGGAGATGCATATTTAAAGTTTTATCAATTGAAGAGTTAAGAAAGTCAGCAATAAGTTGGAAGCAGAGAGAATAGAGCATTTGGAAGCGACACGTCGTTTCGCTTAATATAGTCCTTTTCTACTGCTTTTGAGATTCTCTTTTTCTTTTATGGTCATTTTAATCCAGTTTGGTGGATATCTTATCCTCCTTGTATTGTACTTCATGATTCTTTGTGTTTAAGGAAGTTGTGTTTCAAAAAACAGAGTAGTACTTCTTGGTTGTTAAAGACTCTTGAGAGGAATAATGAGATGCTCTGCCCAGAATTTCTGTTTCTTATAAGTAAATTTTGTACGCCTAAATAGTGATGTCTCTCGTTGAGCCTTAGGCTATGATCCACGCTGACCCCACACACCCCACCCCCATCCCCAACCAAAAAAGAAAAAAAAAAAAAGAGAAAAGGAAAAGAAAAACTTAATCCCTTTTCAGATCCATACAATGTATCTTTTTGTTAAATAACATTTAGATTTTACATCTCTATTGCTTGTTCTAATTACTTTTCAAATTACATAAGCACAGAAACTCATAGCATATGATCATCTAGAGGGAGATCCTGGTTTAGATGGGGGTAAAAATGCACCACTGTTTACAGACATACTGAACATGGTCTGTGGTTGTGTTGACAATTCATCCCCTGACAGGTATGTGTCTTTGGTTTGGCGATTTTTTTCCCTAGTTTATAAATCTTGTAATGCTTATTTACTTTTAAACATAAATGTACAGTACCATTCTCCAAGTGTTGAAGGTCCTTCTTACTGCTGTGGCGTCCACAAAGTTCAGAGGTCTGTTATTTGAGATTGAGACGAAAAGGGTTACATATCATTTTTTCTTGTTGGCTTTTTTTTTTGGTGGGAAATATTTGTTATACGCATATGGACGGTCAATAAAGTTTATATTTCTTTTTCTCCAATTACATGACTAAATCACTTGCCAAGCGTGCTCATTTGTGCACCCACATCCAATCAGAATCTATTTTGCCAGCAACTGATACGTATATATATGTTTGTTGTTGTTGCTGATTCGTTTGTATATTTGAGTATGAAGAGTATCCTCATCTGTAAAACCTATTGTACATGCAGTCCACGGGGAACCTTTGCTTGGAGTTATCAGAGTATGCTACAATATTGCTCTTCACAGGTATTTTTCATATTATCTTAGGCCTAAGGAGTACCTTGTATTAGCTCTAAGCAGTACTCATGAGCTGTAGTTTGAACTTGTAGCAAGAGTCCTGTAAACCAAGCAACATCAAAGGCAATGTTGACACAGATGATCAGCATCGTTTTCAGGAGAATGGAGACTGATCAGGTTTGAGATTTATATTCCTTAATTCTAGCCATCTGGGTGATTTATTTATTTACTAATTTATTTTTTCCTTTCTATCTCTTTATTCCTTCTACGGATACTATATAGTCTGTATTGTCTGACAGGCAGTTCAGGTAGCATCTGCTTCTGCTGGACAGACAGAAGCCATCTTAGCTGAGAATTGGAAGACAAAAGTAGAAGAAACTTCCTTGGGGGATGAAAATGAGAAAGGAATAACTTTAGGCGATGCACTTAACCAAGCGAAAGACACTTCTCTTACATCTGTGGAGGAACTCCAGAATCTTGCTGGTGGTGCTGACATCAAGGTACCTGATTATTGAGTCTCTCTCTCTCTCTCTTCTTGAAACAAGAAACTTGTATTATTACTATGAATTATATACAGCCAAAAGAGGAAGAGTTATAATATCGAGTCACTCTTTTCATTTCCTGTGCACTGTAACTGGGCTTCTTGGCCATACAGTTTTGTGTTGCCTGCTTTGTAACAGATGCCTATGCCAGGCATTCATAACTTTCCTAGGCTTTTTTATCCCAATGTTGTAATTTTTTGCCCCCAAATCTGATCTAGGGCTTAGAGGCTGTCCTTGACAAAGCTGTGCATCTTGAAGATGGTAAAAAAATAACCCGGTAAGGATGTGATATCATACTATGGGATACCATTTCCGTTTACTTGTACTATCCTGATATTGTTTCTACTTCATTTTGCTTCTATAAAATTGTTCAGAGGGATTGATCTTGAAAGCATGAGCATAGTCCAACGAGATGCTTTATTGGTATTCCGCACCCTTTGCAAGGTAAATTTTATTAGTAACCAGTAGACATTGTTGGCATGAATGTTAAGCTTTCTATTGACGACTTGGAAAAGTTATTACCTGCAGATGGGCATGAAGGAAGATAATGATGAAGTTACATCCAAAACTCGAATTTTATCTCTTGAGCTTCTGCAGGTTTGTCTAATGGATTGGGTTTAATTTTGTTTTGTCTGCATGTTCTAGTTCTAAGAGGTTGATGCTTAACATTTAGAAATAAAACAAGTCAAGTGCCTCATTCTATACATTTGACCTCTTTTTCTTTGTTTAACTGAGTTATGTACTCTGTAATAATATTTTTCAGGGTTTATTAGAAGGGGTCAGTCACTCATTTACCAGGAACTTTCATTTCATCGATTCAGTCAAAGCTTATCTTTCATATGCTTTGTTGCGGGCTTCAGTTTCGCAGTCCCCTGTCATATTTCAGGTTTGCATGGAACTACTTTTCACACGATTTTATTTTACCCCACTATGAGATTTTCTTTTTCTTGGTCCTCATCACACTTTTCTTTTTTGCCAGTATGCATCCGGAATTTTCTCAGTTCTTTTGCTGCGTTTCAGGGAAAGTCTTAAAGTATGTGTCTGACCTTGACAATTAGTCACAGAAACTTCTTTTGGATGATACATTTTACTTTGTTCTCCATTTTACATTTATGCATGTAACTTTTTTATAGGGTGAAATTGGCATCTTCTGTCCTTTAATAGTCTTACGATCACTGGATGGCTTGGAATGTCCTGTCAACCAAAAAATAAGTGTTCTACGGTAATTTCTTCATTCCAATTGATTATGTTACTAGTTGTATACTTTACCGTTACATTTTGTCATGGGCTTGTTCCCAACATTTGTCTGGTGATCAATATTTTTATATGGTTCTTTCCCTTGTTTTCTGACAACTTGCAATTTTCACAGGATGCTTGAGAAGGTTTGCAAGGATCCGCAGATGCTTGTTGACATATTTGTAAACTATGACTGTGATCTTGAGGCGCCAAACTTATTTGAACGCATGGTATACTCCCAAATATGCTTTTTCTTTCAATTTTCATTCAAGACTTTGAGTATTGTCTTCTTTTTGGGCATACCTAACGCTCATCTAATGCATTTTGACTACTTGTATAGGTTACTTCGCTATCTAGAATATCTCAAGGGACTCAAAGTACAGACCCCAATTTAGTTGCATTGTCTCAGACAACTTCAATTAAAGGCTCATCGCTTCAGGTAGGTTGAGTGATTTGCTCTGTGACAAAAAATCAGTCTAGTTAATCAGTTTTCCTTCCAAACATTCTATGGCGCTATGTCAGCAGAAATTGCTGGATGACCCTTGTTTCCTATGCCTCTCCAGTGTCTTGTGAATGTGCTTAAATCACTAGTTGATTGGGAAAAGTCCCGTAGAGAATATGAAAGCCGGAGTAAAAGCATTCAGTCTTCTGCAGGAGAAGCGTCAGTTGGAGAATCTGGAGAGATAAAAAATAGAGATGATTTAACTAGTAACTTTGAGAAGGCAAAGGCCCACAAATCTACAATGGAAGCTGCCATCTCTGAGGTAATCTACGAAAAGTTAATCTTCTGTACGTTTTCTAGAATGTAATTGCCGTGCTTTGATTTTCTATGTTGCTGATCTGGCCTTCTAACTTCTCTTAACTGTAGTCAGGGACTGATGAATACTTTTATTGTATTGCAGTTCAACAGGAAACCAGTAAAGGGTGTAGACTATTTGATATCAAATAAGTTGGTCGAAAACACGCCGCCTTCAGTGGCCCAATTTCTGAGAAATACTCCCAGTTTGGACAAGGTTTGAACTTATATTCTTATACATGTTTTCTTTCTAATACTTTGATGTTAACTTCTTATCCTGTTCTTTATCTTTCAGGCAATGATTGGGGATTATCTGGGCCAGCATGAAGAATTTCCCCTTGCTGTGATGCATTCATATGTTGATTCAATGAAATTTTCGGGAATGAAGTTTGATGCTGCAATCCGTGAATTTCTTAAAGGATTCCGACTACCGGGGGAAGCCCAAAAGATAGATCGTATAATGGAAAAGTTTGCAGAACGGTACTGGCGATTTCTTTGTATGTCTGTGTACTTCATTCCGATGAGGATTCATGCACCCTTGTTGGACGTTGTCCAACCATTCCTAGGGCCTTGAACTTAAGATTGAACTTTTATATTCATTTGTTAAGATAATTGCTAATTGAGCTTCCAGGCCAGAAAGAAGACTTCTATCTTGCTTAATTGGTTAAGATAGTTATTTACTACTAGAAGCCCTGCCCATGCACGAGAACATTGATGAGCTAAGCTCCTAGGTTATGCTGATAAGTCCACCTAATTGCTATCTAGTGATTTATGTTGTTTTCTATTGTCTCTGGCAGATATTGTGCAGATAATCCAGGCCTCTTCAAAAATGCAGATACTGCATATGTTCTTGCATATGCGGTTATAATGTTGAACACTGATGCACATAACCCAATGGTTTGGCCTAAGATGTCCAAGTCTGATTTTGTACGCATGAATGCCATGAATGATGCAGAAGACTGTGCTCCTATAGAGCTCTTAGAAGAAATATACGACTCTATTGTGAAAGAAGAAATAAAAATGAAAGATGAGAAATTTAGTGTTGAGAAAGGTAGCAGATCCAAACCAGAAGGTGAAGAGAGAGGCCGGTTGATGAGCGTTCTTAATCTGGCCCTTCCCAAAAGGCAGTCAACAACTGATACTAAGGCTGAGAGTGAAGCTATAATTAAGCAGACACAGACAATATTCCGGAATCAGGGAACAAAAAGAGGAGTATTCTATACGTCTCAGCAGATAGAACTTGTAAGACCTATGGTTGAAGCTGTAGGGTGGCCTTTGCTTGCTACTTTCTCTGTTACAATGGAGGAAGGCGATAATAAGGCGAGGGTTGCTCTCTGCATGGAGGGTTTTAGGGCTGGAATACACATCACACATGTGCTTGGGATGGACACCATGCGATACGCTTTTTTAACATCTTTGGTCAGGTACATTATTTACCTTTTTCAGATTTATTCACACACACACACACACACACACACATCCTGTGTTTTAGCAATTTATTCATTTCTAGCCATGTCATCATTGCATGTCTAGTTGCCTTTTTATTTAATGTTTGTGTTTTTCCCTGGTGCGACCTATAGATAATTGAAGCATATTACGATAAGCTTTCTATTTGGAAAAAACATTCTTGACCATGGAATTAAGCTTTTGAATATTATCTCAGATTCACTTTCTTGCACGCCCCAAAGGAAATGCGGAGTAAAAATGTAGAAGCATTGCGGACATTACTTGCTCTTTGTGACTCTGAGACCGACTCCCTTCAAGACACGTGGAATGCAATCTTGGAATGTGTTTCTCGGCTTGAGTTCATAACATCAACTCCTGCCATTGCTGCAACTGTCATGCATGGATCAAATCAGATATCCAGAGATGCTGTTCTGCAATCCCTGAAAGAGTTAGCCGGGAAACCTGCGGAACAAGTATTTGTGAATAGTGTTAAACTCCCTAGTGATTCTGTTGTGGAGTTCTTCAATGCTCTCTGTGGTGTGTCAGCTGAGGAACTAAAGCAAACCCCTGCTCGTGTTTTCAGCTTACAAAAACTTGTTGAGATAAGCTACTACAATATGGCTCGTATACGCATGGTATGTATCATATATATTGACACCACATTTCTATGCTTATAAACAGTACGAAATGTATCTGATAAAGGGGATTTATAGATATCATGTGATTCACTACGCTAAAACTACACTAAATTGGCCTATGTCATCAATTACTATCTCTGGGAAAATGGCTTATCCCGAATAGTACGCTGGAAAAGCAATTATAGTATTATTATTGGATAAATCTTTGCATGGGTGTATAGTGGGGGTACTGGGGTCAGTTCTTGCATTTTTATGCCAATGCACTGTAGCCAAACATGTTTGTCCAGGAATATTCAGATTGCTTATGTGAAAACTATGAATAGTTTTGAAGGAACAATTATAGCAATATGTTTCAACCTCAGCTATTAACCCGTGACTTGATGGCTTTTCATAATTTGAAAATTTTTCTCACGTATGTTTTATAGGTTTGGGCTCGAATATGGTCTGTTTTGGCAAATCACTTCATTTCAGCTGGGAGCCATCCTGAGGAGAAAGTTGCTATGTATGCCATAGATTCTCTAAGGCAGCTTGGTATGAAGTATTTAGAGCGTGCTGAACTTGCCAACTTCACATTCCAGAATGACATTCTCAAGCCTTTTGTTGTTCTTATGCGCAATAGCAGAATTGAATCCATACGGAGACTGATTGTCGATTGCATTGTCCAAGTACGTCTATATGATTAGCGTGACTGCTCACCTCTTTCCTTTGTTTTTCCTCGTACTTTTTATACATATGAAAAACTATATGGTGTTTTTACTAGTAGTTACTTTGTTCTGGTGTCACTGCAGATGATAAAATCCAAAGTGGGGAACATTAAGTCTGGATGGCGTAGTGTTTTTATGATTTTCACAGCTGCTGCAGATGATGATTCGGAATCAATTGTTGATAGTGCATTTGAAAACGTCGAGCAAGGTTAGACCTTTTTATCTTCTTGGGTTGCTGATATTTTTGCCACAAGATGTTGAAGTTTCTATGCTTTATTACTATGATATATCTGAGATTCTGACTCCTGTGGCATTTGCAGTTATTTTGGAGCACTTTGACCAAGTTGTTGGAGACTGTTTCATGGATTGTGTCAACTGTCTTATCAGGTTTGCAAACAATAAAAGTTCGCACAGAATCAGTTTGAAGGCTATTGCTCTGCTGCGTATCTGTGAGGATCGTCTGGCAGAGGTTTGTTTATTTTGTCTTTAATCTTTCTTTTTTTTTGTAATTATTATTCGAACTTGTATTTTAATAAATATTTCTGGAATCACCATATGGCATATTGATGTGATACTTATGCCAACTTTAAATTACTTGAATGCTCCATGAAGGTTTTTGAATTTAATCACTGGGATGTATTATCATGATATTAATGGTATACTAGTTCCAACCAAAAGACAGATGATTCTAACTGTGGAATCCGAATTATTTGATTTCAACTGCTGAATCCGAATTATTTGATTTCCTTTACAATTTAATAGATATTGTAGGCATCTGTGAAATAATTGCTTTGTTATAAACTTTGTTCCTACGTGACAACATTGTGCGTGTTACTTTTAGGGTCTGATACCTGGTGGTGCTTTGAAGCCCATTGATGTAAATGCGGATGAAACATTTGATGTGACTGAGCATTATTGGTTTCCAATGCTTGCTGGCTTATCTGATCTAACGTCTGATCCTAGACCAGAGGTCAGAAGCTGTGCGCTTGAAGTTCTATTTGATCTACTAAACGAGAGAGGCAGAAAGTTCTCGTCATCTTTTTGGGAGAGCATCTTCCACCGTGTCTTGTTTCCCATTTTTGATCATGTGAGACATGCTGGAAAGGAAAGCTTAATTTCCTCGGATGATGAATTGCTGCGTGAAACAAGCATTCACTCTCTTCAATTGCTGTGCAACCTTTTCAACACTTTTTATAAGGTGCTTTTGAGCTTGATATTGGCTTTTCAAACAGTCATTGTTCAGCTTCTTATTATGTAGCTAAATATCATGAAAAATAATGTACTTTTGAGCTTGATATGGCTAGTTGGCTTTTCAAACTGTCACAGTTTAGCGACTTATTACATAGCCACATATTGGGAAAATGAATGTACTTGTTGCCTAAACATCAGAGGTATAAAATTCAAAAAATTGTGGATGTGTTGCTGGTGTTAGAGTAGCGAAAATTTTATGGTATTTGGAAAGCATTGCAATTTATTTAGAATTCTTACGAGAAATAATAAGTCAGATCTGTAGAGCCTGACATTTTTGTATGAGTTGACCATTCAAGATTCAAATCTGCACTTTTTTTAACATCCAACACTTTAACCGTTGCATTTTCTAACGTATGTCTTTATTTTCTGCAGGATGTTTGTTTTATGTTGCCACCACTACTCAGTTTGTTGTTGGACTGTGCCAAAAAGACAGATCAATCAGTGGTTTCAATATCTCTGGGCGCATTGGTGCATCTCATAGAAGTTGGAGGACATCAATTCAGTGAGAGCGATTGGGATACATTGTTGAAGAGCATAAGGTGAATGTAACTCTATATCTGGAAGTGTTCCGTGATTACTCTATTACTAATCATTTTTGTGTTCCATTTACAGAGATGCTTCGTACACAACACAACCGCTTGAGCTTCTTAATGCTTTGGGCTTTGAGAAGAACAGGACATTAATTAAAGATTTAGAGATCAACGGGGATGATAGCTCATCCCCCAAGGGTGTTGATAATCGTAAGTTTGATGCCAATGATTACGGAACGGTACCGACTAGCAGTGCCGATAGCACTGGAAGAACTTCAGAGAATAATCAACCAGGGCTACAGTTGAATTCGGATGGTTCTGAAGGTTAGGGCTTATCCAACTGAATTTTAAAGGACAATACGTGATCAAAATTTTTAGAGAACAAATCAGAAGCTGCACTGTTACTAGTCTGTAAATATTGAAAAATGACTAAGAGAACAAAATAACCATAGGTCACTAATATGTAGTATTCAAATATTCAGTCAATAGTGCCAGGATACCCCAAGGATTAGGCCTAGTTTTTGCACTTTTTGCTTTAGTCTTGAGAAAGTTAAATGGATGTTTTCATAAGGGAAACTTAGAAATATTTTTCATCTAGGTCTTCCATCACCTTCTGGAAGAAGTTCAAAATCTTCTGAAGCTGGTGGCCTCCAACGGAGTCAAACAATCGGTCAAAGAATTATGGGTAACATGATGGATAATCTCTTCCTTAGAAGTCTTACTTCAAAATCCAAGGCTGGTGGTGCTTCAGATGTTTCAGTGCCGTCATCTCCAGTTAAGGTATTTTTTCGAAAGAGATATATACCATTAAATACGTTTTGACTTTGACTCTCAGGTAAATGTGTGTGTGTCTGTGAAATATATGTGTACGTATGTATGTCTGCCAAAATATTCAGTTGTGTTGCGGAGACAAGCTAGAACGTTCGTAATGACAGAAAGCCTACTAATTGTATTTATATATGTATCTTCTTTTCACAAGTATTTTAAGGATTTCTTAACTGATATTGAACATATAATAATCTGTTTTCAGTGAGTTTAATTCCCTTTACTCTTTTCGATCCTGTTTTAGGTTCCTGATGTTGTAGAACCTGATGCCAAAGATGAGGAGGAAAGTCCACTTATGGCCACTGTTAGGGGGAAATGTATTACTCAGTTATTACTTCTTGGTGCCATTGATAGTATACAGGTTTGTGTTGTAATAATTCTATATTTCCAATTTCTTAATATAATGCATGTGTTCTCATAAGAAAAACAGTTTTTCTTTCAAGCATCCAAGTTCTGTTTGAAATCCAACCTAATGAATCGTCATGCCAGTATTTAAGATAAAAACTAGTATAAAACTTTATGATGCATATATACATACACCATTGTTATGACTCCAGAAGGGGAGAGGGATCGTCATTCAATTTTGTTGCAATTGTCTGAGAACTGTTTATAAATTCTTTGCATTGCAGAAGAAATACTGGAGCAAGTTGACAGTACCCCAAAAGCTTGTTATAATGGACATCTTGTTATCTCTGTTAGAGTTTGCTGCTTCTTATAATTCATATACTAACCTCAGAACAAGAATGCACCAACTTCTAGATGAAAGGTAGTCCATGAAGTTAGCGTAATTCCATTTCTCTCTTACTCTTTCTGTCTTCTCTCCTCGCTTTTTTATTTTTCCCCCCTCTAATCCTTAAAATGGAATCACCTTCCCTTTTACCTATTTCATTTTGTGATAGGCCACCTCTGAATCTTCTGCGCCAAGAATTAGCTGGAACTACCATATACTTGGACATTTTACAGAAATCAACTTCTGGATTTGATGCCAATGATGATTCAAGCGTCACTCAGCACTCTAAAGAAGAAGAGAAGCTTGAAGGATTAGCAGAAGACAAACTGGTGTCTTTCTGTGAACAGGTACTCCGAGAGGCTTCCGATTTGCAGTCCAGTGTAGGTGAGACCACTAATATGGATATTCATCAAGTTCTGGAGTTGCGTTCTCCTGTCATCGTTAAGGTATTAACTTATCAGAACTGGAGCTTAAAGATTATTCTGTTGGAATTTTTCAGCTTGTTGAGATGGGTGTCTTCTATTTGTATTGTTCTATCATCGTTACGGTGGCGGTATATTAATGTTATGTTTTCCGGTCTCAATATGGATTCAATCTGTGCAGAATACTTTTGAGATCTCTAGTTTATTCCCATCTTACTGTATATTATCCTTAAAACGGTTTTATCTCTTTTCCTTCTAGATGAGGCAAAAAAAAAAAAAGACTATTTTTCCTTGTAGTAACTGGTGCTACTGCTATATCTGAGTATCTTTATCCTTTGGTTGGGCATCCATATCTCGTATGAGAATGATGCTGGGTGCATTTAGAACTCGTTTCAAAATAATTTTATTTTTTGTATGAAAATAGAAATGAAAACGTTTTTAATCTCATACAGAAATCATTTTTGAAAATGCGTTTGGTGGTTTTATCAAGAGATTATTTTAAGTATAAAAAAACTCATTAATGTATCTCTCTCTACTCGAGAGAGGAGAAAACGAAAACAAAAAATGAAAAACGACTAAAAATCGTTTTCATTTCTCCCTCATTTTACACTAAACCAAAAAATCATTTTGATTTCCGTTTTTTGTCTTTAATTGTGCCAAACGTCGTTTTAGAATCGTTTTCATTTTTTCTTTCTCAAAAAACGTGAAAAATAAAAACAAGAACAATTCCAAACACGGCTGATTAGTGATTGTCATTGCTGGATTTATTTTTTCATTTATTTATTTATTTTTTGGTTGGCTGGAGTAGCTAGTTGATAGTATGCATATTGCTGCATTTTTTACCTAATTGTACAAGTAGCAACAATGCTGACTTTTTTTTTTCCTTGCAATGTTTCAGGTGCTTAGAGGCATGAGCTTTATGAACAAAAAGATTTTCAGAAGACACCTAAGAGACTTTTATCCTTTGCTTACAAAGCTTGTGTGCTGCGATCAGGTGATCTCCTTTTTCCCTCTTAGATAAGATAGATGTGTTCAACCATCAAAACTTGTTAGCGAGTAATTTGGTTTAGTCAAGTGCTTTTTTTTTTTTCTTTGAACTTGGGGTGGGAGAGTTGAACTCTACACCTCGAGGTATAGATTTATCGCTAAACTATGCCTACAACCACCTAAATCAAGGATTTAGAACCCACTATCGTACTCTCGTCGGATCACCACGCTTGCTTGACATTTCATACTGATTAGAGACCTTGACACGCTTAGCAAACTGATTCTCTTGATTTGTTTAGATGGACGTTCGTGGAGCTCTTGCTGATCTTTTCAGGGCACAACTAAAAGCTCTTCTACCATAGGTCTTTCCTTTTGCCACTCCATCAAGTTTCTCAGAAAGGCGCCACTGCTGAGCCAATAGCTAACATCTCATTGTTTCTCATAGAATTTTCGTGCCTAAAACTATTTGTTCGGAGATTGGCATCATTTTATTACGGTATATCCTTTACTGTAACGATCCCATGGTAGTGCAAAAGAGAGGAAACAAAGTAGGAGAAAAGGAAGATTTTTTTGTTTTTTTGTTTTTGTTGTATTTCTATTTTTTTTTTTAATTTTTTTATGGTCCGTGTTTAATATTCAATTTTGTTGTTATATAGTGGAAGTATCCCCAATAATATTATTCCTGGGTCCTTTTGGTCTTGCAGTAGTAGTTAACAACTATTTGATTTATTAATTCTCATGAAACATTTTGGGGTTTGTAATGTATTTAATCTTCACACCGTGCATCGTTTTATCGTAGAATTTTCCTCTGATATGTGACGATGAAACAATTTTGTTTTTTAAATGAACACTTCTTTTATATAAATAATAATAATAATAATAGTCAGGGAAAATACTCAAAAGATACTCATTTTTATCAAAACACCACTTTTGTCTTTTCTGTTATGTAAATGCCCAACACACCCTACGAAGCAGTTAAACTTTTAGGAAAATTTTATATTGTTTTCGTGTGGTTTAACATAATTATCTTTTAGTACTTTATGTTTTTAGTAATTTTTAATTGGTACTTGACATTTTATAAAATTATTTTTTAGTACTTTAAGGTTAATTTTTAGATGTAAAATATTAAATTTATCATTTTCATTACTTTACTAAAAATTAATAAATTTAGAAAAAAAAATCTAAAAATTATTTTTAATTTAAAGCGTTATTTTTATTTATTATTTTTAAATGTTTAAAAATATTTTTCAAAATTTTTAAAAATTTATTATTAGTTTTTTAGTTAATTAATGAGAAGTGTAACTTTCACATTTCACATTTCAAGAAATGACAAGGTACTAAAAAATGATTTTTTAAAATGTCGATGTACTAATTTAAAACTATTAAAAATACAAGGTATTAAAAGATAATTATATTAAAACACAGAATATTGCTATAAAAATTTCTCTTAACTTTTTAAAATACCTTAATTATCCTTTCTAATTTATATTAAATGTTGTTTCATATATGATTTAACTAAAAAAGTTAAATAAAAAATTTTTAAAATTGCTCAAATAAATATTCAAATAAAAGAATACTTCAATATTATTTTTAGAGTTTTTCAAATTTTTAAGATTAATTTTATGTAACATTTTGATTTAATAATGTTAAAAATTGTACTTAACAGATATTGGAAAGAGTAGTCTTGGTATTTTAAAAAATTTATTTGTTTTATAGAGTGTTTTGGATATTTGCATAAAGTGGTTTTTTGACAGAACTCGGTAAGTGTTTGTTTTGGGTATTATCCCTAATAATCAGAACCGTTTTCAATTTCATTAACTCGTGAATTCTTTTATCTAAAAAATTTAAAAAAGACAACTCGAATTTTAATTTTATTTAAGTTTATATTTTTTTAAGTTCAAATTTGATTCAACTTTACTCAACTTTATTTAAGTTATAATTTTAACTCAAATTATTACTTAAATTTAACTTAAAAATTACACTCAAATTACACTCTAAAAGAACGTGTCTTTAATTTTGCGGCGGTAATGAGAACCGGGATTTTTTTTCTTTCTTATTTATACTAATTTTGCTGATTTTTCATTAGTACAGCATGTTGGTACGGGCCCCACTATAGAGGATCCGTGTCCCCTTTTGCATGGAAGCTGAAACTTTTTGGCTCGACGGAAGCTGAAACTTTTTGGAGTCTTTCAGTTTGGAAAAGAGTACATTCCCCATATGGTTTTTCACATGTAAAGAAATACCAACACCAAATGCTCTCCAACAAGTATACCCAATTCCTTTCCTGATAGATTCTTCACAGTATTATCAAATAAAATTCAATTGGGTTTCTCCTTGGAATCAAGTTCCTTGTTAAACATCCATGTGATTCCTTACCTTTCCTTCCATAAAGGTTACTCGAACCTTTCAAAAACCAGCCAAATTCAAACCTTTTTTCACATATATACCCCCCTTGAGCTTGTACACAGAATCATAACACCCAGATTATGCCAAAACAAAACATGGGTTCTCTCAACTATAGGATTTTGTTAATGCTGTGCATAATTAGTGAAGTTTTTGCAGTAGGCGTTTTTGGGTTTGCAGTCAACTGGGGAACCCGTTCCACACATCCATTTCCACCTAACATAGTTGTGAAGCTCCTCAAGGAAAATGGATTTAACAAAGTGAAGCTCTTTGAAGCTGATCCTGGGGCTCTTAAGGCTCTTGCAAAGTCTGGTATAGAGGTTATGCTTGGTATACCAAATGAATTCCTAGCGCCTCTTGCCGACAGTGTTCAATTTGCGGAGAATTGGGTTACTCGCAATGTATCTGCCTATGTCACATCTGGGGTGAATATAAGGTAAATTTTACTGATTTATTTTTATATCCCTTCTTAGAGATCCCATTCATTTAACCGATTCGAGTTTAAAATTTAAGTTTTATTACAGTAAAAAACTTTAAAAAACAGTCACATTTAACTTTTTTACTATAATAAAAAACTCTCACATAAAGTCACATCTCAACTCAAATTAAAAATTTGAATAAGCGAACTATCCAAAAATATGTTGTCACTAGAGGTTGGTATCTATCGTTTTCAAAACGAAGCTGAGTCTTTTTGGATAACTTTTTTAAAACTTTTGTGAAAAAAAAAGAAAGTGCTTTGAACAGCAAACTTGGAGGGGCCTTATAAAGGCCATTACTAGTATGCTATTTTTAGAGTCCATTTATGTCGTTTTGACATTTTCTTGGTCGTACTCGTAGAATCAAATCTCTACTTCTTTGTTTGGTGCCTGGTGGTTTTCATTAAAAGTGCAAGCAAATTTGGTAGGAACAAAAAACTTTTGAAATAGAGATGACTCATAGGTCTTAAACTTGTAGAATTGTGTTATTATGTGATATTGTAATATAACTTGATAAAAATTTGACGATTGGAATTGTCACAATAAGTAGAGTATTACTTTCGCGATATCCTAATCCAACCATAAAATTCTCCCCCATTTGTCCAATTTATGAACTCATCCAATGTTAAAAAAAAAAGTTTTTATTTTTATTTTATTTTTTTTTATAGCTAATAACTTAATAATAACTTAATTACACGTACTCAACTTTTATAAACATGAGCGTTTTGCGAGCATAAAGACATAAATCCTCCACCATTGTTCATGTTTTTAGCTTATATTCCATACAAATAGGAAAAATCTTTAGACACTACTGGTGTTAAGTACTACCACAGGTAAAAGACAGTTCTATTTGTAGACTCCATTCTACATAGCCGCTTTCTATTAATTGGTGGTGCTCAGTAACACCGATACTGTGTGGTATTGTTCAAACAAACTTGTTTATAATATTACAGGTACGTGGCAGTGGGAAATGAGCCATTTCTAAAAACATACAAAGACATGTACCTCCAAACGACACTCCCAGCCCTCCAAAACATCCAAGCAGCTCTCATAAAAGCCGGGTTGGGCAAGCAAGTGAAGATCACCGTCCCATTAAACGCCGACGTTTACCAAACAGATTCGGGCCTTCCCTCTGGAGGCAACTTCAGAAACGACATCCATGACCTCATGATCTCCATCGTCAAATTCCTCAGCATCAACGGTGCTCCTCTCACCATCAACATCTACCCTTTTCTCAGCCTCCAAAGCGACCCTCACTTCCCAAAAGAGTACGCCTTCTTTGGGTCCAAATCTAACCCAATTGTGGATGGTTCCATCACTTACTACAACGTTATGGAGGCCAATTTCGACACACTAATTACAGGTAAGAATTAATACCATCTTTTTTTTTTTCTTACAATATTAAGTATGGTAAAATTACATAGAATTAGTTGAAATACATGTCTTTTAAGTATTCTTTTAGTAAATGACCCAAATTTTATTAAATTAAGAAAATTGTAATTTTCTGAAAACGGTTAAGCGATGATGTATCAACTTGTGGTTTATCACTAACTAATTTAGTAGTTTTCCGCTGGTTAGTGATTCATCAATTTCAATCAATTATATACCAGTTTATCAATATTAAACAATTGGTTAATCAATAATATACCAACGGTTCATCAGTTACACCTTTGGTATGTCATTGATTAAGGCATTAAGCACTGTAAAAAACAACCATTTACCTAGAAAAACTTTCAGTCGTTTACCTTAAAAACGTTCAAATATTAATTAAAAGGGGTGGTCAAAATTAGGCATCTGTTTAATTTTCTCCAAGTCACTTTTAATGATGCTAAGTTTTACTGAAATATTTTTATTTTTTTATTCCCTATACCTTGACAGAACGACTTAACTATGCAATATATCTAACTTTCCCCTAATTACAGCGCTTGAGAAAAATGGGTTTGCCTCCATGCCCGTTATTATTGGAGAAATGGGCTGGCCAACCGATGGTGACCCAAGTGCCAATAATGAGCTGGCCCAAAGGTTCAACCAAGGCCTTTTTGATCAGATAGTCCAAAAGCAAGGCACGCCCAAGCGTCCCACTTTGCCTGAGATCTATGCTTTTGCACTTATTGATGAGGATGCCAAGAGTATTGATCCAGGGAATTTTGAGCGTCATTGGGGTATTTTTAACTTTGATGGGACTATCAAGTATGGTTTGGATTTGGGTAATGGTAAAAGTTTGGTCCCGGCAAAAGGGGTGAAATATTTGGCTAGGCAATGGTGCGTTATGTCACCGGAGGCTAACATTTTGGACCCTAATTTGGGACCAAGTATTAGTTATGCGTGTACTTATGCGGATTGCACTAGTCTTGGATATGGCTCCTCTTGTGGCATGCTTGATGCTAGGAGTAACGCTTCTTATGCTTTCAATATTTATTATCAGACAATGAACCAAAGGAAAGACGCTTGTCAATTCAATAACTTGTCAATGATCACAACCGCAGATCCATCGCCGGCGGCTCCCGGCAATAGTAGAAATAGTTCGTGTCGGTTCGAGATTATGATTGACATAGGGAAACACGAGCTCGCTCGGTCCCCATCGTCGAATTTAGGGCTCGTAAACCGCAAGTCCCGCATTGTCGCTATGACGAGTCTCCTTGTATTAGTGTCCATGTTGTTTGGTTGAGTTGATGTTGGTTTTTCATGATTTTTATTTTTTTTTATTTTTTTCATGATATCCATATCCATGATGTAGTTTGAGCTAGTAATATATGTTCAATCTGTTTAGTGTTGAATGCTTCTGGCTAGCTTTTAATTTTCTTTTTTATTTTCTTTTAATGTCTAGTTTTTCTAGGTAAAGTTATGTATCGTGGGGTTAGAAGTTCACGAGAGAAAAGGCTTTATGTACCAAATGAAAAAGTAGTGAGGGATCTTATCAGAATAGGGGAAAAGAGGGAAAAGAAGCTATTGGCTTGAGTTGTAACTTTAATCCGTTACTAATTATTAAACTCCATATTTATTTAAAATACATTCCAATACATGATGCCGTTTATTGAGACTTGAAAATGGTTTCATTTTGTTTTGTTTAATGGGATAGCCTCTAGCCCCTTAACTCTATTGTAGAATTGTCCTACTCATTTTTTTTTTTCCAAATAGAATTATCCTACTTAGTTATTCCATCTAGAAAAAAATCATGCTAATACAATTTTTTTAGTAAATCAAGCCAATATTATTGAAGTATATTTATATTTAGATTTTCGTTGTTTACAATTTTGGAGTCAAGTTATTAATTTACACAAACTTTTTCTATAAAATTGTTTATATTTGAATTCCAACTCTTAAAAACAGTATTTAAAGTACGGAGTTTTTTTTTAGTACGCTGACATATCAGTAAGTTAAATTTTTTGTTTGTCAAATTTATATAAAATTACATAAAAATAAAAAAATAAATAGATTAAAAAATTTAATCTATCAACACATTAAATGCTTTGGAGTATCTCTCTTAAAGTATTTCTTTCATTTACCCTTCTCTCACATGTAAAAGAAAAGAATATCGAAGGAATAAAAAAAAAAAAAAAAGAAAAATCATATTGATGGAAATAAACTCGCGAATCACGATCAGTAGCTGTGGTAGGAGACGATCAGTATTCAGTCGTGGTGGTGGGTCCCTTTCAAATTCCTTTTTTTTTTTTTTGGATCAGTTCCTTTCAAATTTCAGTGACAAAATTAAATTGACGTTATTATTTTAAAAAAAATATGGACCGAAATTCAACAGGTCCAATTCAACATCTCGAACCCAAAAAAAGTAGAGAAAAGAAAAACAAAGAAAAAATTACTTCACGAAAAAAAAAGAAAAAAAAAAGAAAAAAAGAAAATCATCCACATCACCTGTCCACAAAAAAAGGAAAAAAAGAAAAAAGAAAAAGAGGGAGAGAGAGAGAAGGGGCGGTGGAGCAGAGTGAAGGTTTGTTTGTTTAAAGCCAAAACAGGGAGGAAAAAAAAAAAAGTGAAGAGGAAAATCGAAAATCAAGCCCCAATCTTCGCTTTAACCAGCGATTAGTGTTTTTAATCTTCTTTTTAACTTTAATTAATTAATTAGTCCTTCAAGTTTATTAATATTCTCTTTGGCTGAAAAATAGTAATACACCCAGTAAGAAACTTCGCAAAGCAAACCATTGTTTATTGGTGTTTTTGGGAGCAAAATCTAACAATTTCTTTCTTTATTGTTAAGGTTTCAATCCATTTCATAGTTCTTGATCGGAATCCTAGATTTTGGATATTCCTATTACGTATCATTCCTGATTATCCATTTTTCCCTCGTATTTTGCGTCCTAAATTCTTGATTTTGTCATATATTTTTGGATTCACAGGGACTTTTCGCTGATTGGTAGTTAGCTAGGGTTTTGATTCATTTATTTTCGAAGTTTCGTGAAGATGATGAGGATTTGAAGTTGCAGCAATGGCGGCGGAGGGGAAATGAGCGAGAATCGTTCGTAATGTTGTTGGCAAGGAGGCAAAGCAGCCGCTTTGTGCGATTCCTCTTCTCTCTCTCTCCTCGGCGTTTTGCGGAGGACATGGCTGCAACTTCTGCGGCTTCTGTAATCTCCAGAGGATTTCACGTTGAATCTCCTTCTTCCTCTTCTTCTTCGTCTTCGTCTGTTCGGTTTTGTGCTTTCGCCGTCAGAGGTTGCTTCGAGTCCGATCCTCACAATCGCCATCCTCGTCTCAGCTCGCTCCACACTAACGGTAAAGCCAGTAATGGAGGTCGGCGGAGCAGTGGGTTTGATCATCACAAGGCTCAGTTCGTTCGTGATTTGGAATTGGAGGGGATTTCTCCTTTGCAGGACGTCCGTACTGCCGATGCTCGTAGTTTGGCGCCAAATGGATGCGACATGGCGTTTCAACGCGGAAACGTGATAGGATTCCCTAACCATTCTTTGCCCCGGGATAAGATTGCCGTCGCCGTCGACGTTGACGAGGGTAAATTCTCTCTGTCCGTGGTTCGGATAGTGTTTTTATTTCTTGGAGCTTTTCTGTAATGCAAGGATTGGTGGAAGAAAAAACAAAAAAGAAGTCAATTCTGTTGCATATAGACCGTAGACGACTTTTTGCACATGCCCATTTGACAAGTTTTCTACTCGCACCTGTGAAGACTGAAATAGAAATTCATTCTTAAGTTATTTTATTTGTGTGCTTCATTCTTTATCTTTGGTTTTTAATTTTTATGTTTTCGCTTTTTTGTTATTTGGTGACAAATTATTTGTTGCTTTTCTGCAGTTTTGGGGAACTTTGTCTCGGCCCTGAACAGGTTTATTGCGGATCGTTATTCTTTGAATCATTCTGTTTCAGAGTACCATGTCTACGAGTTTTTCAAGGTAGTTCCTTCTCGCCCATCCAAGCCCTCTTTCATGATTCCGTTTTCCATCACTGGTTTTCACACTTTTTGTGGATATTTTCTCATGCAATTCGCATTTTGTGTTACAGATATGGAATTGTTCCCGCGATGAAGGTACTTCTAGTGCCATTGTTTTGGTTCATTTGCACCATTACCATACGATAATTATTTTCATGGAAGTAGCAATCTGATTTTCAAAGGTTCTATTTGCATTGAAGTTTGAGTAATGCCTATCTTGGTCTTGCTGTGGTATTGAGCCTTTTATCCTTGATGACGGTCTAACTTAAACAGTTGTTTCATTTGGATTTAATGGATTAATTTTTGAGGCATCAAACTATGTAACTAGGTTACGGTTGAACTGTTAAAGTAAAAGAATTTCCAGATATATGGTATAATAATCTGAACTTGAGCTGACCTTCTCATAGGATGTAAGCTACTTGAATACTGAATATTATACTAAAATCCGAAGTGTAATTCCAATCTAACTCAAAGTTGTTTATGCTCACTTTTTTCTTCTGTAAGGAAGTTTAGCACCTTTTTTTATTTTTTATTTTCTTTAAGGTCTCTGATCAATGAATTGGTTCGAAACATCTACTTTGTTGTGACAGCTGATATCCGTGTTCATGAGTTCTTCAAGACCTCATATTTCAAGACCGGGATCCACCCTATCCCAGGTGCTCAGAAGGCGCTTCATAAGTTATCAAGATTTTGTAACCTTTCTGTTGTGACGTATGTACGGCTATGAAAGACTTCATTCATGTTTGCCTTTCTAACCTGCATTTACTAACTTGTTCTTTTTATATATGTGCCTATAGGTCTAGGCAGAACGCAATCAAGGATCACACAATTGAGTGGATTGAGAAACACTATCCGGGATTGTTTCAGGAGATTCACTTTGGCAACCACTTTGCTCTCGATGGTGTCTCAAGGCCTAAGTCAGATATATGTAGGTAAGCTTGTGAATTTCTTTTCCTCGACATGTAAGGATTTTCCCCCTTGTTACGTGTTTTGAAATCCACCGATGAGTGTGAGTGAGTGTATATAATACATTGGTCTACAAACCAGACCCGTAAATGCACGCGTGCTGCCGGTTTTTTCGGGACTGTTAATGTGCATGGACTTTTGATTGATGAACTGGTGGAATATGCTCCTGACATGCTTTGGTCTTCCATTAACTGCAACTTCCAGGTCATTAGGAGCAAAAGTTTTGATTGATGATAACCCAAGATATGCCATCGAATGTGCTGATGCTGGAATTCGGGTTCTACTTTTCGATTATGAGAACTCCTATCCTTGGTGCAAGACCGATTCCATCAATGAAAACCCCCTAGTGACTAAAGTCCATAACTGGGAAGAAGTGGAGCAACAGTTAAACACATTGGTTTTTCATTAGTTATTCAGTCATATATAACTTTGCGAGAATTCAGAAGAGACCTAGAAGATTTATCGGCTGATTTTTATTTTATGCCTAGAAGCATCAAATGGATGCTGAAGAAAGTTGGCTTATACCGGTCTTTTGCCGAAGCAGCTAGAAGAGAGATCCAGAAGGGTCTTGGTAAAAGCTGGGTTAAGGCAAATTATAAGGAGTCATACACTTGCTTATTCCTCCTCTCCATTTTGAGGCATGGAAAAAAAATAAAAATAAATTGGGGTTTCTGATTTGGGATTGTGACAGACTAGTCATGTTACTTTGTTAGTTTCATTTGTAGGTTGCTTCTTTTATTTTCTTAACGCATCTATGATTTATTTTGGTCAGACTGATTCAGCAGAAAATTTGGCCATGTTGAAGCTTGTTTGTTTCTCTTTCTTTTTGAGGAAGATATATAGTAGGAGAAATGTAAATAAATAACCGAATGCTAATTGCTGCAATACTCCCAATTGAGAAAAGAAAAATACGCAGTAGTTTTATACAGGTTTATTATTTATTATTTATTTATTATTTATGTCAGAGGACTGTTATAAATCGCGAGTCGTAAAACTTATGACCACGCGTTCTAATGCTATATGCCACAAGGTCCAAGGGGGATGACAATAAGGCACATAAACTCATGCCCATTTAGTTCGCTGATTCAAATTTTTAATTTGAGTTTAGATGTGACTTTATGTGAGAGTTTTTTACTATAGTAAAAAAGTTAGATGTGATTATTTATGAGAGCTTTTTACTGTAGTAAAATTTGAATTCTAAACTCGAATCAGCGAAATGAACGGGTCATTTTTTTTACAGGTGGTTGTACACATGGGTCGTATTGCGTACCACTCGCGATAAAAAATACTTCCTGCATTATAAATAATTGAGTGTAATAATAATTGTTTATTTTTGAGATAATAATTGTTTATTTTGAGTAAAGTATTATTTATCATATTGAGCGGTATAATTTATTATTATTTTTTTACCTAATTGGCCTCGTTCACTTTGTAGATTTGAGTTTTCAATTCGAGTTGAAATGTGATATTTTTTTGAGAGCTTTTCACTGAAACAAAAAAAATTAAATGTGATATTTTTTAAAAATTTTTTATTATAAAAATTTAAAATTAAAAACTCAAATCGATAAAATAAATGAGACCTTAACGTCAAGTCTTTATAATTAGGAGACCTGGCAACGATAAATTGATTCAGCGTCTTCTTTTTCACTTATTATTATTATTATTATTGTGCAGAACTTTTCGTACTTTTTATTCTCATATAAAGTTTTCACTAACCAATGAATTTTGAAAAAAAAAAAAAGGGTTTTTTTCCTACCCCAATTTTAACGTCAAGTCCTCCTTATAACTAGGATATCTGGCACACATAAATTAAAGAGATATTTATCTTTTTATACATTGTGTTTTTATTTATTTAAAAATTATATTTTTAATTTTTAATCTCATTAAATATATATTTTTAAATTAAATTTAATATTAAAATTTATAATTTTTTACAGTCAATTATTAATTTTAACTTTTAAAATACTTAAAATATCCTTAAATAGAAACATATAAAAAGAAAATAACCTAAAAAAATTTTAAACTCACAATTTTGACCTCTAAAGTATGTAAAATACCATTTAAATGGTTTTTTTGTGTTATTAATTTTTAATTATCATAAAATTAGAAAATTTTAGTGTTTTTTCCCTTTTTCTTAAAGATAGTTTAATTATTTTAAAGGTTAAAATTAATTATTTACTGAGACAAGGTATAGATTTATATATTAAATTTAATTTAAAGATATATATTTGATGAGATTAAAAATTAAAATTATAGATTTGAATAAACTTAAAACACATGGTATAATAATATAAATATTCCTAAATTAAATGGATTCTAGCAACGTCTTCTGAAATGTGGTTGGCAATTTCCTTCCTTTCTCTCATTTTCGTGGATGTTTATTGTTTAACGTGAAACATTTACAGTACAGATGACAATAAAAGGGTCTCATCCTGTTCCCAGTATGATATTCACAACTTTAAATATACAACTATACATAAATAAATTTGGATCACTCAACTTCTTCATTACTCGATCTTCTCCATCAACTTGAACCCATAAGCTTGCAAACTATCCAATGCTGAAACACGAAAGACAAATCTAATTTATTGTTCTTCTTAAAAGTTAAAACATAATAATTAAAGTGATTAAAGAAAAAAGTGCTAATATATTTGCCCAATCTTAAAATAATGTAACATAACTTCGTTATGGTATTCTAAAAGGCTAAACTATCTATGTATTGAACTGATTTTTATTATTAAAAAAAATTGTTAAATTTACCTTTTACTCTTAATTAATACCCTTTTAACTAATATAATTATTTGATTAAAAAAGGTAAAAATTTAGACTTACGCAGAGTATTTGTCTCTTTTTTTTCTTATTGTTATTATTAATATTTGTTTTGGTAGAACGGAAACTTCTAATACTATTTATACACCAGTAAAGCAGAAGAAACAAAAACATTGCTAATACCTGGGACATATACTTCAGGCTCAAGAGGCCTCAAGACTCCCTTTGTCTTTATCTTCTTTTCAAGGATAAGCTGAAAAACCATAATCAAAGCATTTCTGTTAAGAAATTTCTCAGGTTTAATAGAAAGTCTGGTTTTTAAAGAAGCGTAACAAGTACCAGCGCTCCAATGGCTGCAGGGATTCCAACAGTGAGGGCCATGGCAGTGGTGGTTCTCCCATTCTTGGTCTTCCCAAATTCCAATAAAGTTCCAGTGTGTCTCTCTGTATGTTGGTCATCCGGGAAATCTACCTCCACTTCATGATGCAAAAGCACCATATCCTGACCATGAAATCAAACAAATTGCAGTGAGACGTAACATTGGTTGAGGAGTCCTCACAAGTACGTGTTCTCTTTTAACTTTTTAGATTTTCGCTTTTTTGAACCCTAATTGCCGCCCGTTATTGATTGGACTACATTGTCAAAGATTGTAAAACTTATGTCCTAAATGTCAGAGTCAAAAGATTGGGGTGCGACATGCAAATCACGTTAAGGTCAGGGTGCATGAGTACAATATACCCTAGGGAGAAATATAAGAATATGAAGAATCCCTTTTGGAAATGACTATCTTAGTAGACGTTTAGTTCACGGATTTAGAATCATGATTTAAAATTATTTTCGATTTACGTATGTTTTTTATGAGAAAAAATACTGTAACAAGCCACGAACCATAATTCGAACTATAACACGAATCATCGTACTAAACACCTTCTTTGGTATTTAAAAAAAAAAAAAAAAAAAAAAAAAAAAAAAAAAAAAACATAGGAAATTAACTCCATAAAAGGTAGTAGAGTCATGGTTACAGTATCAGCAATACCTGTTCTGAGCCTGTGTAGGCTAATCTTTCCTCCATCCGGAGACAGGAAACATCAAATGCGCTTTTACAGGAGATAGGAATTTCCGTCTGCTCTCGAAGCCCCAAGAATCTATCGACACCAAAGAAACGTCATAGCGACTTAACAGTAGAATACACGCATTCTATTTTTCAGCTATTTGGAAGACCGAAAAAAAAAAAAAAGATTTGCACCAGATGAATAAAAGATGTTGGCTTCCACATAATAAAAGCTTGAAAAAAGTTTCAACGGATAAGATCATTTTTAAGCCCGATTCAAGAGCTGAGATTTAGGTCATCCTAAAAGAGATGTATTTAGGCTTAGTTGCAACTTAAATATTGCCTACAATATAGAAATGTACCTACTTAAATATTGCCTATAACATAAGAAACATAGAACCATTTGATTGTGCAAAAGAAGAGGTAAGATGTGTAACAAGAGGCCTACATGATAGTTTTAGCTGCCTTTAGTGCAGTTCCTTGGTCTATGCAATATCCAAGCTTTATGATTCTTTCAGCAATGCTCTCCTCCCCTTTTAGAGGACCACTAAAATCACCCCCTTCAGTCTTGAGAAGCGCAAGCAAGAACGTTCCGAATGTCGGTCTCTTTCCATCCTTAAGAACTGGATTAGGTTCAGTATTAAAAAGACCAATTCTTGCAAGTGTCCCCATTATTTCACCAAATCCTATACAAAGAAAATAATTATAATCAGACTATAAGAAGCTTTTCACCGGGTTACAACTAGGCCTTCCTGGATAGAATCTTGCGTTCATCTTCTAATTCTATCACGAGAAGTTTTTGCAGTTTTTTTTTATTTCCTTTGTGTTTTTTAATAGTCCAGTCAATATCAAGAATCAAAATGTTGGCTAAAGAACAAAAAGAGCCGAAAATCAGGAGGCATATCTTGCCTTCATAGCGAAGGGTTCCACGAAATATGGTGGATGCTTCATCTGCTATCCCATACAAGTCTCCATAAACTAAAGAATTGCGATTCGGAAGGCACTCCAATGCAAAAGCTGGAAGATCAGGTATCCGAAATCTCACTGCTGAATCGTAAAGATTTTCCCCTGCAAAACATGTACCATAAAAATTGGTGCATTGAAGTGCATATTATATAGTAGTAAAGACCAAATACAAGAGACACTAATGTGCGTTTCTCTCCTATTTAATGATATTCTCTTGCAGGAGTAAGTCTGTGCATTGACTTGGGGGCTTAAATATTTTGTTGAGACAAACTGAATTTTTTCAATTTTAGAGGGGTTATATTTAATTTAACGTAAATTTATGTTGATTTGAGTAAAGGTAAAATTGAATTTTTCTCAATTTTTGTGGGGGCTATTTGTTATAAAATAACAAGAACATTGATAAATTTTTAAAAGAACAAAAAATGTGAGTGGGGGCTCCGTGCCTGTGTCTGTGGCTTGGATATGCATTCGTGTTCATAAAAAAGAAAAACATCTCACTTTTCCTTGGATTCAACGTTATTTTCCTCATTGCTGAAAACTTACCATCGACATGCACAATTTCTCCCTGAGATCTATACGTGGCGGGATTGCGCCCAGCTCGAATAGCTCCTGCAGGATTCCAACTGAACAATAGTTGGTAACTTAGTAACTCAACTTTCATAAAATGCTGAAGGGTACACAATTTCAATGGACCAAATTAATCCGTTTAAGTACCTGAATTTGTATGCTAATGGGTTGTTTGCAGCTGCTGGAGATGGGAGTCCCCCGCAGTAAGAATTGAAAGACTTTATTCTCCCCTTTCGGACGTGCGCATGGTTGATCATTTTCATCGCCATCATGTGATCTGAAACATCAAATTTGCCATACTTCGAGTTGGTTATTTTTCGTCTCGTCTCATTTGTAGTGGACAAGCATGATCGAAAAACATCATTCACATATTGTGCTGTGCAATTACCTATCCCAGGGTCCAACCCCATTTCACCAAGTATTGTAATACCAGCATTCTTGGCCTTTTCATCTAGTGTCGACATGGAATGATCAACATAGCTTGCAGTTACAAGATCCCTTCTAAGCTGTATTGCGTTTGACCAAAAAAAAAAAAAAAAAAAATTATTAACAAAAAAGATCTCTTTAATAAAGAAAATATCTTGCTAAAACTGTATAAAACAATATTGAAATGCATTAATAGTACCTCAAGGCATGCATTTGCTACGATGATGTGGCAACTAGGAGGCAATAAACTTATAACAACATCAACCTGCCCAGAGTAGAAACAAGATAAATTTTTCTGACTATATGTAAGTGGAGCTTCGAATTTGTGTACAGCATATTCCAGATAAAGGGTATTGATAATAAAAGTTTTATAGTACACGGAAAATATTTTGTACCTGTGAAATATAGTTACAAAGACTAACATGATCCTGCACATCAAGCTGAACTGCAGTTGCGTTTGGAATACCTTCAATGATCTGCAAAAGCATGAGACATATAAATAACGTCGAAATATCAAATATGTGTCTACTAACAAGAAAATCAAACAGGGATGAATATAATATATGACTTTGATTCTTCGACTGGTCGGTGAACCTTTTACTTACATCAAATGCTATAACATAACTCTTGCCAGTAGACTTTTTACTGCGAAATAAAGCAAAAGCAAAGAAAAGGGAAATTAAGGAAAGAAGAAAAAGGTCTGTTACCTCTTCTGCATCCTTTAAATAAAGAGATGCAACAATTACATGAACATCATTTAGCTCTTCAAAACCATCCTTTGGGCATGGTTTATACCACTGGCGTGATGAAGCGCTTCCAATTGATGCTAACAACTCAGCAGCCGGTTGACAGACACGGCCTGCTCCAAGAATCAATACCCCGGCTTTCCTTTTCATGTCGTTTTCAGTTTTTGTGCTGTTTTCTTGGACTTTTCCAACTATCAGGGAGAACTTATTCGTTTCTTTGGTTAAGAGTCTGCCTCTTACATCTGGATTAGCAATGGAAGTTAGAGAATCAATAATCTGATCCAGAACATCCTTATCATCTGAACCAACCTAAAAATATAAAACAAACAAAAGGAGGAAAACTTGTCAATGAATATATTACAATGTTTTGCTTCTAAAACAATCAATTTGCATTACTGGTTCACTTACTTCAAGTTCTGATAATGACATAGCTTTTGAACTCTGACCCACTTGACATTTTACTAAGTGGAATGAGCCTCCTGCAGCTTCAATAATATCTAAGGCCTCATTTATCAGAAACTGATCAAATAGGTGACCACTTAAAGATACCTGTCAATATAATTACAAGGTTGATCAGGACATGCCATAAGTTTACAAATATTAGATTTAATATGATGCAGACCCAACAATGATTTTGGAAGTTGGTAATTTGTGATGAAAGAGAAGTAATAGACAAAGTTATGATGATATAAATGGAGGAACCTACCAGTATATTATATTTCTTCTTGTTAGATTGGAAGCTTGAAGGGTTCTCTAATATTTCTCTGCATATTTAGAAAGGCAATCAGTCTCATTATATCACAAGAGAAAAGACTTGGCAAATGAGACATAGAAAAAATAACTAGGAGACAAAGGATCAAATACATCATGTAGCAACTTTCTTTGCAGGATTCTGTTGTAGTAAAAACACACAAAAAAGAAAAAAAGAAGGAAAAAAAAAAGAAAAAGAAGGAAAAAGAAAAAACCTATTGAAGGATACAATTATAAACTATCAAATCACATCAAAATCATATCAAATTAAGAAAAGTAAGGTCATTTAATGAACCTGCCAGTATTTTTTCACACACTCACAAAATCATCTTAATTAACTTTAGAACCATTGTAGAAGATTTGGCACTAATGACACTATAATAATATTTTTTCGAAAGGTGAAAACAAATATTATCTCAAAGGATCCCATGGTGTTGATGGGACAATAAAATAATACAACTTTTGAAAGTTGAAAAGAAAAATATATTATCCCAAAAGATTCCAAAGTGTTGTTGGAACAGCAGCAGCTCTAAATTCACTTTATTCTCTCAAATTTAACAAAGAAAATGTAAAGGACTTGAAAGCTTACTCTGAATAAGAGCTTCTCATGCGAGGAATATATTCATACAAGGGAGTAAGGGCTCCTCCATGGGCTATGCAAGCTCTCCTCAAGTGTGCAGGTAACAGTTTAAGGTCTACTATAGAAGCCAAATGGCCCACAAATTCGGATAATATGTCTCCAAAATGTTGAGAAGCCTTTCCACAAGTAAATCCAATGTCAGGAAAAAAAAGACTAAGAAAATTGCTCAGAAACAAAGTAATTATGTATTTTTACCACAAATTCCTTGATAGAAATTGTGTACCTCTTTTGCAAATTCAGTAGGAAGTATGTCAACTGCTGAACATATTAAGCCACTACCCTCCAAGTCATGATGGTAAGAGTTGTTTAAGGGGTCATATCTGAGAAACATGATTGTACAACCATCATAATCAGGAGAATTAAGAATACAAAAGATGTACAATTTAAATCAGGAGAATTCTCTGGTAGGGTGAGGAAACAAACTATACTAATAGGTACAATTTTGAACCAATAGATTTCCGTCAAGTTCCATGAAGCAGTCATACTTTTCTTAGTTTGATGTAATTCTCATGTGATATGTCGGTTTAGAAATGTGTTTTACTAATAGTGTTGTTTCTCATACCCGACCATATAATTCTTGATTAAATTATAAAATGAATCCATGTATATGATGTGATACCTGAAAAAGGGCGAGTCAATGGAAGTTGTTTGATTGACAAATTCTACTGAGCCGCCTATATCACAAGTTATGTCACACAGTCCAACAAGTGGACATCCTTTCTTCATCAAGTCTTGAAGCTGTTCATTAGTCAGCAATCTAGGAAATCTTTGCTCCCAATACATGCAATTTACTGCACAGAAAAGATAATTTGTTAAAGAAAAAAAAAACCAATGATCTGTCAAGACCAAGAGATATCATGGAAAGTCATAAAGGTACAAATAATACCACTCCATAAACAAGTTTAGTGAGATAATAGATATCACTAACCATCTACAGATTACACACACACACATACACACACACAAAGAAGTAATTTTTGTAACTTAGAGCTAAAAAAAGGGAAAATACTTCAAATTTTTTCCATGCGAGTAAAAGTAGAATGTTGTTAGCCATATAGCACTTACCAATTACAGATGCATATGGAGCTATTTTTTCATGGAAAACAGGGTTGTAATGTTCCGGATGTGTGTAATAATCAACCTGAATAATAATAATAATAATAACTTTAAGTTCAGTTTACTTTGATTTTGGATTGATATAATAGTCTCTCTACACTTGCATTTTTATTTAATCAAAGTTGAACAACACAAGTGGTAGTTGCCAATTATCTCACCATTTTGAAACCTCATTTTGTAACAGGAAAAAAATTTCCAACAAGTTTGACGGATAGGAAAATGAGAAAGGAACAAGATTCTAAAATATTGAACATACTTTGTCAAACACTTTCGTTGAATCCTTGTTTTCGACCATATCTCGGGAACTGACAACGCAACCATATACTTGAAAGATCCTCTTTGATGTCCTTGCAGGTTGAGAAATATCCTTGGCCTAACCAAAAGGAACATTCATAAACATAACATAACAACAAAAGGAGCTTCTAAATTTGCAATTCCTAAGATGCTTTCAGATCTCGAAATACACCTTTTCGAATAGCTCCGAAAGTCTGCTTGGCTCCACAAAACTGTGAGGAAGAAGCTTAAATATCTCTTGTACACCAAGGGAGACTACAAAAAAGAAAAACTAGATTAGGGTTCAAAGTTGATAAGGATTCAAAGTTGATAACAAACTCATAAAAGTTATAGTACAGTCACCTTAAAGAAAAGATAAAAAAACAAAATGAGGTTGACATAAACCAATCTACAATTTTTTTTGCAAGTACACAAAAGAATTTCTACATAGAGAATATAACATAACAAGTCTAGACATTACAATTAAAATTGCAATTGCATTGTGGTGTGGAAAGTTAAGAGAGTGAATTTTGGACACTAAATTACCATTTCCTGAGCCAGTGAATACAAAGACAAGAGGACAGATTCCTGCAGGCAATCCCTGAGTTGCTATCTCTTCCCCCACCGAAATTACGGCGGCTTTGGCCGCGGCCAAGGATGAGTACATATAAGATGCTCCCAGTGAAAGAAAAGGTGTTGAATATCCAAGACTAAGATACCCTGTAAAAAAGGAAAACACCCAAAAGAAAAAGGTGAAAACTTATTCAAACACTATATATTATTATTATTATTATTATTTTTCATTTAACAATTCCCAAATGCTAAGTAATCAACTTACTCAGTCCCAACCCATGCAAGAAGTCAATTATTCCAGCTCTACCAGCAAACTTCCCAAATGCAAGTAACCTTTTTCCATGATCCCCAACTATAAGCTCATAGTCATATAATGATACCCTTTCAGCTAGAATCTGCAAACCCCAAAAAAGTAAAAATAAAAAATTAAAATTAAAAGAAATAAAAAAGAAACCCCATTAAAAAAAATAAATAAATAAAATCTGCCCATAAAGATACCTTATCTAATAAGGGCATGTTTTCTTTCTGGGCCTTGTGGGTATGTGAGAAGAAGGCATAGGCTCTATCGGGAAGAATCATTTCTAACTGCAAAACCAACACTTATAATAATAACTATCTTCTCTTGTTGTAACATTAATGTTTGAAAACAACTTTGAACATAGGAAATCCGAAATTTTTATTTTTAGTACCTTTGGTTGTTTGATACCTAAGATGAGCCCACATTCTGACAAATCCTCTGATATTTCACAACCAACATCTTCATAGAGTGCATCATGATGAATGCGTTTGGTTGATGGCTGCACAATTATGCGGGAAATTCCAGTTCTGTCCCTACCTCCGTGTAGTAATCTAGCACAATGTGATGGAGTCAGAGGAACCCTTCTTTCCCACTTGTTTGAGGACTCGGAAAGAATCCCCACAACCCCATTTCCAAGCATGGTAATAAATTTGCTCTTGATCCAGATCAATTTCCTGTCATTTTTTTTTTCAACCATGTTATTAGCAGAAGACCAAATCAAAGGCTTTCCAATACTCAAACAATAATGCAAGCAAATGAATAATAATGGGATTAGAAGATCGTTGATGATCAAAAGGAGATGAAAGTTGAGAAAGATCAAGGATTGATCAAAAGTGTGAAATGATTGAAAGTTGTAGGCATAGGACAGAAAAAAAAAAAACAACATAATGAATATATAGAAAACTGAAAATGAGCCTGGAGATCATCATATAAATGTACGGATCATATAATTCATTATAAATACGAGAAAGTTTTACCAGTTTGGAGATTATACGAAATCAGGGGAGAAAAGAACAAATATGAATATCTCTTGGCACGCCCAGATCATGCGACTCTTTTGGCCTCTGCAAAAGGAAAAAGAAAACGTTTCGTTCGAGTTGTGCGTCTCTTTGTGAATGAATCATGAATGAATTATGAGAGAGAAATTATAGAAGAGATGAGTGGGAAATGGAAAGGAAATGGGCTTTACTAGAAAAGAAAAGTGACAAATAAATAAAGAGGATTGTGGGATCATCGGATAAAATCAAAATCGCCAGAGTCATGAGTCATCAAAAAGATCCATAAGGAAAACGATTTATTTATTTATTTATCTGGTTTTGTTTATTTTTCCATGCGTCATAATCAACTCCTAAGGAAAACTCAAGCGTGGCATGGAAACTGGATATGTACATATATATATATATATATGTGTGTGTGTGTGTGTGTGTGTGTGTGATATAGATTCCACTTCTGAATGAAACTTTATTTATTTATTTATTTATTTTTGATAAGTTATATTTCGTGATCATTGGTCTGTCATTTATGAAAACAAGATATGTCATATGAGTGAGTGGTAATATGAGGATGTGAATATAATTACGTAAACCGAAAATGAGGGCTCTGGTTTTGTCATGTTCATGCACAAATGTCCACGTGTCTTCCCGTCAACAGATCACTTTCGTTTGCTTTTTTCCCTTGCGGTCGGGACAAGTAATCGGTTTGCTTTTCTTACTGTTAAACGCACGTGCCATACGTGAGGTGTCCCGATCCGCAAACCATCTTAGGAAAATACGCCTCATCACTTTTTCTTTTTCTTTTTTTTTAAATAATTGTCAACACTTTTCAACCAACAAAAAAAAAAAAAAAATTTGTCATCACTTTTCGTTAAAAAGAAGAAAGAAAAAGGGAAAAAAAAAATTCCAACCATCGAATCCAATTCCCCCCCTTTTTTTTTTTTTGAAAAATATCCAATCTCAGATTTTAATTGCCAAAAATTTGTAATTATATCTTGAGATTTGTGGTATTGATATTTAAAGGTCATAAATATGGTTATTAATTAGCTAAAAACTCGCGCGTTTTTATGAAAAATATTGTTGTATTATACAAAAAGATATGAAATTTTATGGTATAGAATTAATTTATATTTACATATATATAGATATATTTATATAATATTTTAGTTAAAAGTTTGTTACAATATATTATAGCTTTTGTTTTCTTTAACTGTGAAATACAAATTAAAAAAATTAATAATAATAATTAAGAAAGTTAAAAATATTTAATTATATGTAGTGTAGAAATAACTATATTTCTTGATCTTTGGGTGTTTTTTGAGTGGGTCTGTTGCTTTTAGTTCATAATTAAAATGATAAAATATTATTAAGATATGTATTCAAAATAATAAATGTTGATTTTTATTGATAATTGATATAAATTAATAAATATAGGAGCAAATAAAGAAATAAAAAAACCAAGAACAAAAATGTAAAATCAGACTATAGGGCAGGGGAAAAGACCCAAAAGTCCTCGTGCAGGAAAGGGAGAAGAAAGGGAAAAAATGGCAAATTTAAAAATTCAAATTTAAAAGGTAAAATCGGTATTCCACTGTACTATGTAGAGTAAACCATGCATCTTCTTTATTATATATAATTATATGCCTATTGTTTTTTAAAGCTATTTTTTTGCTAATCTGTTTTTTTAAAGCTATTTTGTATAGCCTTTACTTTCCAACGTACATGCAAACGTGTTAAAGTATTGAAACTAATGCAGTATCAGTTGTGTAATAAACGAATTGTATGGTTTTTGACTAAATATTAATATAGGTTGCATCCGAAGCACTATATAATTGAGTTTCTATTTTTATTTTTATTTTATAAGCAGGAGTACAGAGTTCTTGTTATTTGTTTGTACACACGGCTATCTTTGTTCTTTTCATTCCCTCAGAAAAGTTTCTCTTCCATTTGATTTACTTTTTCATTTCAAAAGCTCAGGTTGGGTGCTTAAAAGAGTTACCTCGACCTTCTTTTTTCTTTTTTTTTTTAAATACTAATCTACCTCGACCTGCTTAGGGCTGTTCATGGGTTAGGTTGGTGCGGGCTAAGGCTTTTTTCTCCCGCCCCATAGGGTGCGGGTTACACATATTTAGCTCCAACGATGTTAGAATTTTTTCACAACCCAACGATGTTCGGGTTGGGTTGGGGCGGTGCGGGGTGGGTTGGGTGGTCGGTTTCAACATTCAAAAAATTAAAGACTTAAAGTTCAATCTAACATTCAAAGTTCATAATCAAATAGAAATAGTAACCGTTCTTATGAGTCCATCTAACATCAAACATGTAGCAAAGCAGTCCATCCAACATCAAATATAAAGCAAACATAAATTAGTTTACACTCATAAATTAGTCTTAACATAAAGCAAACATAGATGCTTAATTCAAATCCATCTAAAGCAAGCATTGCAACAGTAACAATCCTTATCAGTCCACACCCATAGGCTCCTCAATGGTTGTAGTAGGACATGAAGTTGAGTTATCTACAAGAGAAATGAAAATAGCTTAAGTAATAATTTGGATAGTTAGTTTAGACATGTGTTGTGCGGGTTGGGTTGGGGGTTGCGGGTTGTTATGGGCGCAACCCACAACCCGCCCCAAACACTTCGGACCAGAGGTATAATGGGCCGAAAATTAAAAAATAATGCTGTGGGTTGCTTTTTTCAGGTTGGGTTGGGGTGGGTTTGCGGGTTGTTCGGGTTTATGAACACCCCTAGACCTGCTATTTGAGAGTGCACTCTTAGCAGTGATTTAGTGGCTGTCAAATCTTGGAAGTTGGCCAACACATCCTTGTTGCCCCGGATAATTTATCCCGAGAAGGCCAAATCAGTCTTAAATATAGAGATCTTTGCGCTTCAACCATCTTTTCATGAGCTAAGTTTTATTATTAAGTTTCAAGTTATTTTTAATGTTTTATTATCTATAAATTTCGGCACATATGTTATAGTTCATTAATATAATTTAATTTATTAGTAAATTTAGGTAAACTAAATAAGAAATTATTGAAAAGAGCTAGGTTATAAGTTTGAGTCGGACTAAATAGGTCATCACGAGACCTACGACCCAAGCCCAGACCGGTCTTAAATTTTTTGCGTTTAAAGCAGGGTTGGGCTGACCCTATCTCCTTTAGGGCCGGGTTGATCCTAAATTTTTTGTGCCTAGAACCAGGCTGGACCAATACTCTCTCTTTTAGGGCTGCCGAGCTAGCCCCAAATTTCTCTTTAGGCCGCCAAGTCTGAGCCGGACTGCCCAAATTTACACCTATAAAAAAAGCATATTTGACATTTCATGTCCCCAAAAAACGATCTCAAGGTATTAAAAACCGATTTTTTAAAACGGTAATGTACCAATTTTAGTTATCATCTTCCATAAAAAAAAACATTAAATACTAAAAGACGATTTCGCTATAATACAGGATATCAAATTAAAATTATCCCAATTTATTATTCCAATCATAATTTATCTAGAATCAACAATTATTACACATCTTGAATAAACAATTAATTCCTTAAACTCTTATTGTGGTATGCGCTAACAATTGGGAAGAATTGTCCGTGACGAGTCTCAGGATAGGACTCGGGCTTTCACCACATCCCTGCTCGAGACTTGGTTTGCACGTACTGTATGATCGATCGTAACTGAGACCATGCAGAATTTTATCATACAGTTGGACTAAAAACATTCCAGATTATTTTCTAGGAATTTTACTTAGTCCAAAAATAATACCTTTAACCTCTTCTAGTACATATCTTCCAAATTGTACGTTCAGCAAGGACTTGCTGATTAACTTCTTCTATTACCACAACAAATTTCATTATTAATAGTTTACCAAAAATGCTATTAATCACTACCAATAACATTCTACGAACCGTTAGAGCACTGGACGCTATTAAAAGTCCTAAAAAAATATAGCATTCTAAGAGTGTTATGAGAACGCTATAGAATTGAGATCTTATAGCGTTTTATACTTGTTATTTTCAACCTCTTATAACTATTTGGTCTTATTATGGTTCAGATCAATAACTTTTATTTCTTGTTATGTTCATACTCTTATAATTTTTTAAAATTATTATTGAATATTTTACCAATCTTAAAACTAGTACTAACTAACGTTCCATCTACTTTTATTATATTAATATCTTTTTAAATTCATTCAAATAGACGGTGATTTCGAACAACATCTTAATATTACATCTAAATAAGAATATTTAAATTAACTATCAAACTGATTAAATGTTAAAAAAAATAACAATAAAAAAAATTTATTTTAAAAAAGTCCATCATTTCCTCTCTCCCCCTCTTCTCTCTCTAGTCTCTTCCTCTTCTCCCTCTCACTGTACCTGTTACAGAAACTTACCCTCTAGAGGCCATAGTTGTCGGTGACGCACTCAGATTTAGCCCTGTGTAACTCCGGTGCGAGGGGTTGGCGGACTTGGCATCGGTTGTTCGTGATTAGGTGGCTTGGCTGGGTTCATGAGGGGGCGGCGCAGCGGAGGGCTTGTGGGGTGGGCTTGATCGTGGGAAGGTAGTTCATGACGCGGGCCATGGAGGATGCGGAGGAGGATTTGCGATTTGCGATTTGTAATTGTTGCCCCGAGGGACGACGGAGCCTTGGTTTTTAAGGACTCCGAGGAGGATTTTAAGGAGAGATCCGAGTTCATCGATGCGAACACCTTCAACAACAACATCACTGGCACCATTCAGCAGCTAAGCTCATGTCCAAAATCTACCAAACAAAGAAGAGAATCTCATGGTTCTCGTGGTTCATGAGAGAGAGAGAGCGGGAGAGAGAGAGAGCTTTTACGTTGGTGACAAAAGAGATACAGAGTTAGAGCATTCTTTGAATTTCAAAAGAAAAGAAAAAGGAAACGTTAAAACAAGATTGGAAATTTTCACAAAAGAGAGTGAAATGGATCTGCAAGTATAAGGTGAATAAGAAAACTTTTTTTGGTTTTTTTTTTTTTTGTTATGTTTCTGAAATAAGTTTTTAATTGTTTTTATTATATAATCAATTATATATATTTAATTATAGTTTAATGATTTTAATTGATTTTTTATCTGCCACGTCAGCAAATCCGTTAGGATTGTAGACGGAATCAGACAAAAGGGGTATTTTGAATCGTTTTCTATAAATCATGAGTGTTTTGAACCATTTTAAAAAATTAAAGAGCACTTTAAAACATAATACACATTTCGAAGGACATTTATTAAAATAATCTTAAAAAGAAATGGTCATACCTAACTAAAAAAACTTTTTTTTAATATTAAACGTGGAAATTATTATAATAATTACAACGTAATTATGTTTTTCTTAAAATATTTTAAAAC